GTCTCATCAGTAATCCCATAATAGTCGAAATTTTCAATACTACATTCTCTATATAGATTAGGATATTGATCCAATATTTTGTTGTGAAAATAGGACTGGTCATAAGTTGGATTAGTCCTACTTGCTTGAGGGATAGGTGTTAACACAGCTTTAGGCAAATCGTTTGGCATCTCTTCTTCATTCGTTTCTTTCACTAACTGAAGTGCAGAATCAAAATATATACAATCCTTCGCACAATCTTTCAAGAGCATTTGTAGTAATCATCTTCAGCTTCGAGCAGATTGCTTGGGCCAACTTCTTTGAAATCATCAGAAGAATTAGAGTCATGGGTTAAAGGAATAGGTACTGTTGATTCACTTACCTCAGCTGAAAACAAGGGATTCGCTCGCACCTCTGACATATCAGTTGACTGAAAGAATCATCGCTAATAAAATTGTCCTAATCCTCAGTGAAATCCGTACTGGGCTTATTCGAGAAATGATCCATAATCTTTTAGATTTCATTACTAGTAAACTTTGATATTTCATTTGCACTATATGTCCTGATATACTGGATTTTATCTAATCCTATTTTTTCGAGAAGTTTGTAGATCTTTTCAGCTCCCTGAGTTTTTTTACGCAAACCATCTCTTGTTATGTCTGGGAGTGGCACCCCTGTATCTTGGCCGTAAGGTGCTTTGCTAGATCTTTTCTTACGAAGGATATTAACTTGCTTCACGACTTCATTGTATATTAGACCTCTTGCCTTCTTTTTACCAATTTTATTATTATCACACAAGGCCTCCAACTGAAATATGAATTTCTTTCATAGTGGTACTAGCATAATATTTCTTCTTGATTTGCTTCCAATCTGTGCTTTTCTGCAATAAGCGCTTTATCATATAACTGAGTCAAATGTTGAGATATCTCTATCATAGTAGTTCCATGAAATGAAGATGCTAATGCATCTGAATTATCAGATTTCTGGGACCACACGATCTCGGAAATTTTAGTCACATGATTTTCTTTGAGTACGGATGAAGAGATTTCTTGAATCAATCCCTGCCCATTTTTTTCATTCTTCTTTTCCTTATTACGTCGCTTTATTTCACTATTAACGATTTTCTTATGAGCCTCAAGCAAGAAACTATCCATATCTTTTTCTTCCAATGGTTTGCCATTAAGGCGCTTCGCAGAGTTGGCAGGTACCGTCGCCACCAGTTCTTGTTTATTATAGCAAATCTCTTCAGAAAAGGAATTATCTGTTTTCACATCTACCAATGGTTTCTCATGATACTCTGTAACTGAATTAAAGTTAGATGTACTATTATCAGAAGGATTATCATTATACGTCTGCTCTTCTACTGATAAGAAAGCCTGTTTCACTATCACAAGTCTGGTCTCAAGCTCCTTATTTTTTTGCTTCAATTCCTCAACTCTAACATCTCGTCTAGTATTCTCCTCCATAATCCGCTTTAAAAGTTTAGCTTTTTCAGCCTCAAGCTCGGCATTCTTAGCCTCAAGTTTAACGATATGCTGTTTCAATACTTCAAGCTCAGATGTCATTATTGATAAATTTTATATAAGAAGTGAAATATTTAAAAAATAGTTAGTATATATAATTATATAGAAACTGTATCATTGAGAAATAGGTTATAAAGTCACCAGATTTTCAGGACCGCGCGGTCTCAGAAAAATGCCAAGAAAATTTTTATTAATATATGCAAAAATAAATACAAATGTTCGGGACTTTGCCCGTGATACATATTATTTTTTGATAAATTTTTTGATCCTAGCCCTCTTGCTAGTTGGGGAACTATCTACACTAACCTGATCCTTCAACAACCCTACAATTATACCGATTACCCTTTTCACGTTGCTTTGAAGTAATTCAGGATTATCTTTAACTGTGGACTTTATAAGATTAATCTGATACTCGCTACCACTTGTGAAAAAGATGCCATCTGGAGTATATCTGATAAAATGTCACTCCGTACCTGTGGTCACAATACCATAGATATAGTCAAAATAGTCATTCCCAAACGCTTGATCCAAAGTTTGTTTCTTTTTATTGGTCTGGAATGCACTTTCAAGTTGCGTCAGATTCTAAGAGATAAAGTATCATTAATATCGTTTGCTATGCAAACAAGTGAAAATGTGAATAGTAGACCTACCTGCGCATATCCAATCTTAATATTTTGTGGTTTCCCTTCAGTGATATAAAGAAGATCTTCTAGACTTTTGATTGCATAGTCCACCTGGCCTGTTGTATTCTCACTGGAAACGTCCTTTTGAAATACTATAAATATATCTTGAGAGATAAGTTTTTTAGCTATAGCGATGGATGCATGGAGAATCGATAAAATAAATTCACAGCGTGTCACTTCATTAGCGTCAGTCATAGTTTTCACATTTGAAAGTTTTAAGATTATATCCTTCATACAGTGATTAAGAGCCTTATCATCATTATTAATCTCCTCGAAGACTGTGGAGAAAAAAATAAGGTTAATATGGCTAACTAAATAGTTCTGGAAAATTAATCACCTACCAGAAGTAAACTGCTTGATGTTCATTATATCTTCCCCATTGACCTTATTTCTACGTAACATTTCCTTCAGGTCATCGAGAGATTTAAGTGAGAAATAATTTCGTAACTTCTGGCTGAGACCTTTGATAAATTTTGCTAGTGTTATCGTAGGACTAGCTTTCAAGCCATAACTTCAAAAATCCTCTTTAGTTATATCAAGAAAGGCAAGGCCAGAAATTTCTTCTTTACGTAAAATTTCGAAGTGGAACTCCTTTAGCTTCAAGTTTTTTTTTTTCAAATATTCAATAAGCTCCTTTGTATTAAAATCCTTAATAACGTTTGACATCATTTGTGAAGAAACTTCTTCTGTTATTGAGCTTAGAGAAGAAGGTATAGAGGGTTGTGAAAACATGGTTTTTATATATGTGAGTTTGTGCTTGCGAAAAAATATGCACTTGACTGCAGTTACAGATAAAGTTAGTTTATGGATATAAAGTATTTTTGGTTTTTAACGCTCAGAGAGAAATGATAGATTTTTCGTATCGATTCATAATGCATTTACCTAATATATATGCAATTAAAATGTAGTACAGAATTGTTAGGCGATTGTATTACATCATTACACGTGATATTTATCAAAGATTTACGACAAGAACATAATACATGCTTTATTTATGAAATAAAAACGTTGCCAGAACTCAGCCTACAATATATAAAAACTATTACATAGTATGATAATGAAATACTGCTAAAGCAGACTATTGGGAGTATATGAGGATGAGACCCTCTTCAATATAATCGATATTAAAATGCTTAGAAATCATGTCATCCAGTTTCAATTCTTTTGCCGGCCCTTTTGAGTTATTCACGTAAAGCTTAATCTCATCAAGAACCTGCTTATAAAGTATTGTCATTCCTTTTTTAATAGTGGGTATGGCATCTTTGACCAATGTTTGCCAGGCTATTTTGATTATGAAGATTTCATCATCTGATTTATCATGGACTTTAAACCTGAAATCAATAATATTGGCCATTTTTTTTCGTTTCCTAAATACAAGGCTCATAATGAGAAAAAATTCGCTCCTATATATACATAATTTAGGGCATACATATACCTTATTTTGCATTATTTTACGAGAAAGTTTTTTGCGAAAAGTTGACTGAACTTCTATATACTCCTACATGCTTTATATCTTGCTGAAAAAAGAGTGCTAAGCCGAAGTTAAGGAGGTATAAGGCGTGATTAGTATTGTCATCTGATGCCAAGAGCTCTTTGAAAGCATATGCAAATGGAATCTTCTTACCTTTTCACATGTAGATCTACCGGAGAGACACATAGTTGGTCTTACGCCCAACGATCTTGAAATTGTGAATCCCTCAGCCTTTAATAACATATGTTTCTGTCGTCACTATTTACTTTTAGAGCTAGTCCTGTGTTGCGTGTAGACTTTCTTTCACATTTTCTCACATTTGTTTGGGAAAAAATAAAGAACAAAGGTTAATATGTTTTTCGAATATATATATGCGAAAATAAATATGTCACACAAGACTTGACTGATGATCCCACTTATTTTTTATCACACAATCTCTGGCTCAGCAAATTCTTCCGAGCTGGTGATCATCGCTCTGGTTGATGATCAGTATTTCAGACACAAATTTGAATATATGCTAGCTAGGGATAAACACAATCATACTTCCGCTGACTTATATGATCAACTTTTATATACAAAGAAGGATATAAAAGCTATTTAGAAAAAACTTGGTTTTAATGGTAATACAAATCAAACAATAACCCATCAAATCAAAAAAGCGAAAACCCTTGCTGATGCGTATGAGTTGTTGTTAGATTTGGTAGCAGATATAATACTGATACAAAAAAATCTCAATATTGATGGCAATCCCATTCTAGAAGCGGAGCTTAGAAGTAATAGAACTTCTACTGATATATTATATAAGGAATTATTTATGTTGTTCTTAGATTTAGATTATGATATAAGGCCATTTCAAAGTTGATCGTTCAGATTTTGTGATTGGGTTATACAAATATTTCGACCAATAACATTTGCGATCAAAATTCGCTTTTTTAATCAATCAAAAATGTAGATTGTTTTTGATCATATTTAACGCGTTCTTTTTAATGTGTTCTTTTAACTTCATTTTAACGCGATTTTTTTTTTAATTTTTTATCTATGGAATTTCCAAAGGATTTTTTAGAAAATACTTCAAAACATTTACTTTATGTTCCGCCT